GGCTAACCCGGCCTAGGTCCGACCGTTGCCAGCCCTAGGTAGAAGTGGTCTCACGCTTGACATATTGCTATAGAATTTGAAACAAGAACGTATACTTGCTCCTGCAGGAGCATGTTGTCCACTCTTTCTTAGGGCAAAGGAGAACTAAGAGGATTTTTCGATTAAACTTTTGGAAATTATTTAAGAGTCACTCGAAAATGAAGAATAGAGTTTGAGTTTTTGAAAACTTAGATCTCATTATCATCGTAGTCTTATCCTAGCTAATTGGGGTCAACTACATGAATTATTTTTTGTGTATTCTAGTGTATTTAGTACCATAAGTTATCATTTCCCACTAATTCAATTAGTGCCCTTTGGGGTCTTCTTTTTTTTCTTTTAGAGCCTTCCACTTGAACCAAATAACCTTTTATGATCGTTGTTATGCTATGTTGACACTCATAGACCAAACTACCTAAACCTACTTTCCATCTTATTATTGCTTATTGGTGCTAACCCTTTAGTTCTCTTTGTTGGGTGTGTGTGGCTATTAAAGGCCTTATGAGTGTTTATACATGAACTTATTGATATAGTGGAACATGAACTCAGTGGGAGTATGGTCATGAGTGGATCATACTAAACAAACGATGTTTGTTGATACCGGATTGAATTTTACGAGTTAGGCCAATCTGGTTGGAAAAAAACCCATGTTACATGGGCATAGAGAATAAACCGATAAATGTTATAATAGGTCATCTATTGATAATGTCGGAGTATGCCTGGAATTAGTGAGCCGAGGGATTGTATGACCCTTGTACGTGATGGAAGCCTTCAGATATAGGGTTAAAGCCTCATCCGCATACCATCATACATCATGCATAATGATAGCTGTTTTCGTGAAAGCGAACCACCTTTCAGGGTGAAACGTGTGCATGTGAGAGAGATAACCCTATGCGCTATCGAGCAATGGATTGCATCAGGTTTGGGTGACTTTGGTTTCGTCTCTAGAGGAGAACCTGATATCCATTGATTGAGACAACAACCCCTTGTCAATTGGCTAGACTTTGGTGACCCTCTAATGATCCCTTGCATGGACTGTAGGTCATGAGCAACATTGGGTCTATTTGAGAAAGCAAGCATGGACCATGATCCATAGTAAAAGGTGGAGAGCCCCAATATATATTTGTTCCTAGACCATATGGATCATTTTCCTATCAAAATATTTAATTATGTTTTTTATATGATTTTATAATTGTTATTTGAATTTTTGTAAATCTTTGGATATTTTATTTATCAAATTTAGATTTTTAAAAATAGAGATATTGATTTTACATTGATTTAAATATTCAAAATTGATATTTTGAATTTTTAAAATTCATAATATTAATTTTAATATTTTTATATTGCATAGGAGACCCAATAAACTATATAGGCCCACCGTGACAATTGGGTGGGGCCCATTGTGTGTCACCTAGGGCACACCCCACCTTGAGGAGTTTCTAAATTTGAAGAGCTCAAGGCAAGTGCTTGAGGGATAAGTAAGTTATGTTTTGGAAAGCTTGTGCCTTGAGGAAATTTCGAATCAATTTTTGGTATGTGTGAGAAGGCTTGAGCATAAAATAAGAAAGCATAATATTACTATATATTATTTTCTTATTTGAATTAATTGATGGAAAAAATGATTTAGGAAGTTGGAAATAATGGTTCTAGCATCTTCCATAAGATCTTGATGGCCTATCTATGAAATGGACAATTCATATCTCTCACCTCACAAGTCATTTAAGATTAATGGTGCATATTCAATTTTACATGAAGAAGCAAGCTATGGAAAATCATAAAAAACCCTAGAACCCCTTGATGCACTATAAATATGGATGCATCCAACCCAATATTCTCCACACCTAAAGTTTCTATCTCTCTCCTATCTCACATAGGGGCACGTCACACTCTCAGAAACCTCTCTCTCTCTCTCTTGGAAACTCTCGCACCCTATGAAAAACTAAGGGGCATGCCCCTCTCATGCCTCTTAGAGTTCTCTCATCTCTCCCATCTCTCAACTTGTGTTGTGGCTAAGGGTTTAGGGTAGAAGAGAAGCTCTCTCAATTAGGTTATCAAAGGAGATTCACCTATTTTTGAGTTTTGTGATTGAAAAGGGGTTCCATTGTTTTTGCTTGGCCTAAACTTGCTTTATCAGTTCAGATAGAAGGTTGACCATTGATTCTGTACCATCGGAAGGTGGTGACTTGGTGTAGGGTGCAAGAAACCAAGTTGAGGTAATCTCCGACACCCTCTTTCGTTTCTTGCATATTTATTTATTGTATGTTTTATTCCCAAGCATATGCTACGTTTTTTCTTTGTTATTGAAAGAAAGATTTTGAATGGCGTAAAGTTCTTGAGATCCTAGTTGTGTTTTTTTATTTATTTATTTGAATTGATTTATTGTAAAATGATTACTTATGAGTGATCTAAGCCACGAAGAAAAAAGAAAAAGAATAGAAAAGAAGAAAAAAAAAGATTATATATTCCAGCTAGATCACACGAGTTTTTCTTTCACTCTTGAATGTATCTATTATGATTAGCAAATTCTATCATTTCTTGTTCTGTCACTCATCCATTTTAGCATTCTCATCTTAGTTGCACTTATTTTATGGATATATTGTTTCTTTGGTGACTTCTATGTACAAAAGATAAATGATCTCTTTCTAAACAACCACTTTATATAAACCACACCCTTTTAGTAAAGGGTGTGGTTTCTATAAAGTTGCAACATCAAACAATCCAATTAAGGTACACCTCTAAATTTTACTATAACATATAATTTTGGTGTAAAACATTTTTACGTTTATCTGAAAATCTATTTTCAATTAGATCTATGAACATATGAAAATCTTGAAAATGGATGGTCTAGATAATGTGTTGCAAGATGCATTATTTCTAGGACTCAAAATCTTTTTTTTTCATATTCATACATCTTGATGTCAAGATGATCAATTAGAGGGTTTTTCAACATTTAAACAACTTTTTTTGATGGATTTTTAAAGTACATCTTTAATTTTATATTTTAAGGTTGCAACCTTATATAATTGTTTTTAAAATAAATATTTAATTCTTGGTTCAAGTTCAATACTCTTATAGGTTGAAATTGAAATGAAACAACAGATAATTGAAATTCATTGTTTATCACAAAGAACACACTGGCATTTTACATAGAATAAGATTCATTTTTCTTATTTTTATACCACCCTTTTGACATATTTTTTCCCTAAATAACATGTTCTATTATATGATAATGGAAACAAGAAAATATATGGCTAAATAAAGTAATGATTAATTGAAATCCTAATTTTAACAAAGGAAAAAACTTATATAAGGTTGCAACATTGCCATGTAGAATTAAACTGCAGTACAAAAAACCATAAAAAATTTGTTGTTTTGATGTTGTAAAATCATCTAATTGTCTATTCTCTTGGATGCACTAGCCTAATCTTTTTCCCCACCTTCCTAACTATTTCTTGGTTTGATTTTTTTTTTTTTTCTATCGTTTCTTTTTTGATTGCACATGATATTTTATTTTCAAAATCTTTAATCCAATAGACCTAAATGGTCAAAAGGAAGTTTTTCTTACCAATTTGACACATGTGCTTCACATTTTTGGTGTATTTTTCTTTTTGTTGAAATTTTTATTTTGGATAATTCAGTGGGGAAGACAGACTCCTACGTGTTTTTTCAAGTATATTAGGAGTTAAGATTTTTGAAGGAACTAGATTAGGACTTAAGATTTTTGAAAGTATTAATGGGATGGTGTTAATAGTGGAGTGAAAACTATAACATGGTGATTAGGATGTGGGGTGCTTAGGCGATGTCCCCTTTCCCATTGAAGAATTTTTTTTAAAATTTTTTTTTCCCTCTCTTTGGGATCATTTGTTTTCTCTCTCTTTAATGGGGACAAAGGCGCACATATTTCTTCTTTACTAATGCATTTCAACTTTATAAATAATGTCTCAAAAATTATATTAATTTTGAGATTAGAATAATTTATTAATAAAATATCTTATTTTTAACCAAGTTTTTAATGGTTTTACCTAATACTTTTATATTTTTTATTGAAATTTTGAAATATATATTTAGAAAATATGACTAGTCAGACTGCTGGTTGGACCGATTTTAAGTGAATCCGTCCCTTTGCCGGTTCAAGCATTGGTTTGATCTTTATAACATTGGTGTATAGTATGATTGCACCTGAGCTGGGCCCAAAATCGTGATAGCTAGGTCCGAGACTAGCCCATGCTCAAAAAATTGGGCCGGGTTGATCTGGGCCTTATGTAATTCATATAAAAATTGTTTATCACATACTACACATCACTATTATCATCATAAGCTTTATCCGAGCTAATGTTGGCCCGGTCAGACCCAAAAATATTTCGGGCCTAACAAGTCTAGCCTACTAGGCTCCAAATCTAGTCCGTCCCAAAAGCAGGCTTGTCTATGCTGGTTGGTATCAAGAAATGGGTCGATTTCAGCAATAGGGTAGACCGGTAGAGACATTACTCCCCATTCTGTGCTATTTCAGAGGGTATTTTGTGGATATGCTCCCTCACTAAAAAATTTGCTTTGGAGATTTGTTTTTCGGCATGAAATTTTGGGACCAAATAAGCAGATTTTTTTCAAAAAAAAAAAAAATTCAAAATTTGAGTTTTCAAATTCTTAAATCTTTCCCTTAAAAAATTAGACCGCCTATGTTTAATATTGAGATTTTTTTTTTCTGGTACATCAAGAGTTTCAATTCAATTTTTTTTTTTTTACTGAGGTTAGTGTATGGTTGTAGAGCTACATCCCCAAAATAAGAGGTACTAAAATACTCTATTATCAACTATTGAGTCTTGCATGGGGTAATAAATGGACAGTGTACTGCCGTCGGAGTATAAAGTCATTTAGCATCTCACAGAAAAAGACTTCCCTAGCGATTTGTAGATTTGTTAAGGGTACCTTTCATTTTATGTCTTCCTCCCTATGAATTTGTAAGGGATTCAGTTCCGTACGCCTTTTCCTTGCATAATATCCCTCGGTTATAACGCCTTCGTTGTTATTTGTTTTTTATCGAGAATTTGCAGTCTCGAAGAATTCCTCGCCATGGGGTTGCAGGTTTCTCTCAAAGTCTTACCCTCCATTGAATCTTGCTGTGCTGTTTCTTCTCTGATTTTTTTTATTGTATATTGCTTTGATGCTTGATTCTTTTCCATGTATTGCTGATATATTGGTTGATTATTTTCTCAAAAGATATATTGGTTGATTATGATCAAGTTTCACGTGTTCTATTTCAATTTCAACGTTTCTTTTGCTTAGAATTATCAATTATAATTTCTTTTTTTTCTCTTTGAATTTGAAGGAGGATTTGGTTTAGTGCTAGTGATTTTTCTTGGTGAATTTTCTTATATTTCAGCACTATTGTTTGCTTTTCATGTTTAATGCTTGGATTAATATAAATTTTTGAATTAATCAATGAGGGCTTCCAATTCTTAGAAGCAAAACTTATTGGTATTTATTTAGTGCAATAGAAAATTGGAATACATGGAGAATAGCTTCTTCTTTATGTCCTTTTACTCTTAAAAATTAAAATTTAGGCCTGAGTAAAGAAGGTGGTTGTGTTAAGTAGGCAGCCAACGTAAAACTTTATCACATCTGAACATATGTTATATGCTTGTGTTAGGGTGTTCCGCCCATAGTAGAACGGCTGAACAAGATTCATGTAGTTAACCCTAAATAGTTGGGATAAGGCTCTAATAATGATGTCTCTTAAAAATTAAAATTTATCCCTTTTTTGGATGAGGTAAAGTTATATTTGCAAATATACTGAGACCAGCAGGCATGAACTGTTATTTTTCTTTCATTTTGTTCCCTTCAGTTGTTTCTTTTATGTAAAAGAATTGTTTTGTTTTTCTGTCTTTCTCTATGTCTCTGTAGTGTTTGTTTGTGTGAGAAAGGTGTGATATGGTATACAAAGAATTGTAGGATGTGAAAGAATAAAAACCTGAACTATTTTCATTTCAACTTTTGAACTTGTAAATCATTGTTTTTGGGGCATGACGAAATTTGTACCCTCTTGTCTATGCAAGAAGTAAATAGAAGTACCAAAAATAGGGCAAATTAAGCACGAAAATCATATGCAGGATAGTTGTAGAGAAGCAATACACAGAAAAATAGGGCAAAAAAGGGGGCATAAGTATACCTGGAAAATCCATTATAAGAAGGGAAAAACTCTAGGGCAAATATAATCCACTGATCAATAAAAGAGGAGCTTAGAATGCCTTCCCAAATTCACATGATTGATAGAGTGAAGAAAGAATTGAACATGTCATTTGATATAGAGGACTTGTTAGTTGTTACTAGCACAATAGAATTTGGGCATGCAATCTCTTGTGGTAGAAAAGCAAAGGTGGTATGGTTGTTACAAGAGAAGTACATTGAAAAGGTGCTTGAGAAATTTAATATTAAGATTGCAAATCCAGTTTGCACGTCACTTGCGGGTCACTTTAAATAAAGTGCTAAACAAAGTCATTCCAAGTGACAAGGAGAAGAAAGAGATAGAGAAGATTGTATATGCTTCTACGGTTAGTGAGTTTAATGTATGCAATGGTATGTTCAAGTACTTCAGAGGTTTGTCAAGAATGTCTTTATTTATAGAAACTTGAAGCCTGTGTTGGAGGGCTTCAAATATGCAGATATGATTGCGAATATTGATTCTAGAAAGTCCACTTCTTATTACAGGTTTACTTTTGCAATGGGAGTAGTGTCAAATCAAGTTGCAAAAGTGTGTCTTCGTTTCCACAATAGAACGATGGGATATTGTTGCTATAGAAGTAGGCAAGGCAAAGTTGTGGATGAAGAATTATCTCAAGGAGTTAGGCTTGAAACAAGACAAATATGCTGATAATTATGATAGTCGAAGTGCTATACATCATATATTTAGCTAAGAACTCCGAGGAACCCAACCTGCCATTGCAAGCCAAACCTCATAGATGTTTGTGACAACTGGATTCACGATATGCTTTAAAATCAGTTTATGCTACTGGAGAAGATTCATTCTGAGCAGAATCATTAAATATGGTGACAAAGAGCATGTATGAGCTCTATAGGAGCTTGGTAGATATGGATGATACATGAGAAGAAGTGCATAGAGAAAATTTCACTAAGCAAGAAAGGGAGATTTTTAATGTGGGGTTCAGCTTCCTTGGGCCCCACATGATTAAATTTTTTTTTTTTTTTTCCAAAAGTTGAGAATCTCTTGTTGGTTGGTTTCCTATTGACGCAGGTCTGGGGGTTCTTTTTGCGCCATAATCAATTTTTCTAGTGGGAATAGGTAAGAGAGAGACCATTGTAGGTTAAAAGGTTTTATGGTTTTCTTTTAAGCTTTAGAGTGTGCTGGTAAAAATAGAGCCAAATTCAGAGTCCACAGAATCCTTTTAAGGAGCATCTTTCTAAGGATTTTCTAGAGTGGCAAGAAGAGAACCTCAAGCGAAAGAAAAGTGGGTCTGGGAATACATTTTAACTTCCTTTTCTGTGCTTAGTGGATTACATTTGCCCATTGATGTTTCCCTTCTTGGAAGGGTTTTCCGTATTTGGATGCCTTTTTTTCACACTAATTTTCAATGAATTTTTCTCTATTATCATCTTGCATGTTTTTTGTTGGTGGTTTTTCTGGTTTTTTTTTGTCCTATTTTGGTATTTGGATATATTTCACGCACAGAGGGGAAGATTAGATTCCCTGCTATTTGAACTTTGAAGGAAAGGTTGATATGGAGAGCTTTATTTATCAAAATATTCAATGAATCAATTATGATACACTCAAAGTAAAACAACCAACATAAACTAAAGGGTTTTAGTGTTGAATTTAACCTAAGTTTTGATCTAATAGTGCTTCCCCAGTTGAAGAAAGAAAACAAGGCAGCCTTCATTTAGTCTATAAATTGAAAATAATTTAGTAACGTAAGGAAAAAAAGAGCGTGGTATTACAAAGGGGAGGTTCATTAGGGTGGACCATTGTTTGTGAATCTCTAATGCAATGGACTGCACTGGAGGGAGCAAAAGTTGTTTCTGGCTATCACTGAATGTTAACATGACAATGATTTGGGTTAATGAAAAAACTTGGGGGGAATTCAATATAAATGCTTTGGGGAATTCAGGGTTTAATTTTAATCTACCTTTTTCTTTTGACATGATAATGGAGAAAGGAATGTAACCCTTGGCATCATCTTGTGTCTCTGCCACTTGGCCAACAAGCCACAGGGTCCAATCCTTTAACTTTAAGTTACCTTTCTACATACATACATGTCCGCATGCTACAAGTGTGCATACATACATGCATCCACATATACATATATGTGTGTATGCATAGATACATACGTCACATATGTGCATGTGTTGATAGAGAACACGGTATTCTTTACCAAGGAAGCATATCACTTGTCTCTCATGTTAATCTGGAATTCAATGTGATTGAATCACAACCTTTAGTTTGTAGGAATTGTGGTTCATATAGCAATACTTAATGACTAAAATCAAATTTATGAAGCACATGACGATCACTGGTTTATGAATATAACAGTAGGTTGATGATAGTTTTCTTTTTTTTTTCGTTGTTACTCATCTTGATCATCTGGATGTATGTGCTTACCCTCTTCTGCATATCCTACGTCCTCTCTTGTTATGTGGGACTTAGTTCAGTTACTTCAGTAGTGGAATACGCTAATGCCTAGTATTTGTGCTGATTCCCTCATCATCTAATTACGCATCAAAACCAAAAAAAAAAAATGTCAAGGAACAAAATCCAAATGACTACTGAGGTGAGTTAACAAATATTGCTGGGGAAGTATGCACTGATACCTAACAGAATAATTTCTTCATAAAAAATTTTCTGCATCAAAAATGTTTCACATTTAAAAGGGTCAGATGTGTTCAAGTAAGAGCTAAATGAATCAGTAATATTGGTTGTTGGTGTTTTGTGTAATGGTTTTTGTAGTTAGGTTTTGTTTGTTAAATTGTAAGACATATCTCGCAGCTATACATACCATTCTTGTGGTTTCATTTTGTAATTTAACCTTATGACAAAGGATCTTGTATTACATATCAAAAGCACATAACTGTTACTGATGAGTCAGGAAGCATTTGAGGCTAAACAAATAATATTATGATTCTATAAACTGTGGTTTACCATAATCCATGGCCATCACCATTAGTGAATGCTGTCTTATCAATATATATTATATGTAGGGAAATGTATACTATATATTTAAGTCTAGCCTATTAAGGTCAGATAGAAACTAGAGTGAGATTGTTTCCATTATTTTTCAGGAAGAGTTTGAAGAATACGCAGAGAAAGCCACGTCATTGCCTCCTAGTACCAAGGACGCAGACAAACTCATACTCTATGGGCTTTACAAGCAAGCAACTGCTGGCCCAGTGAATACCAGTATGTCTCTTCGTTGATTTTTTGTTTTAGTGTGTTAATCTCTTGAATGTAGCATTTTAAACTTGGTTTTACAGGAGGTTTAATGAGATTCTCGGATTGTGGAATAGGTCGGCCTGGAATATTCAGTCCTAAGGAGAGAGCAAAGTGGGACGCCTGGAAGGCAGTGGATGGTCTCTTTCTCTCTTTTTCACACACACACACAGACAACGCACGCATGTCCACAAACACATGTGTGCACACTCATAGCATGTCAAACGACCACACACACACAGACCAAATGACTAAAACGTGAGTCATGTCTTAGAGCTTAATGTTTTGATTCTGTGAATTTCCTACAAAGTTTTCCCTTTCATTTTGCGATCCCAAGTCCTATGGCTGTTATTACATCCTCTTTTAACTATCTATCATATATTCTGCTATCCCTTTAACTCACTTCTCCTTCCCATTCTTCTGTCGTGATGACCATGACACCCCATCATATTGTAGAAGTCCTCTAGTTTCTTAGAAATCGGCAATAGTTGTGCTTCTTTACAAGAATGACGAAAGTACCTTACCGTTCTTGGTTTATACTTATCATCTTCATTATGCAAAAAGAAGTTATTTTTATCATCATTCATTGGTTATCTAAGAATATGGGGGAAAATGTCGTGGATTTCTTTCTAAAAAGGAATTGGCATATGTTGGAATACTAACCACAATTTATTTATGGAAAAAGTTTATATAAGTTGCAACCTTAAAATGTAGAATGACGGATGCACCTCAAAAATCCATCAGAAAAGGTTGTTTTAATGTTGAAAAACCCTCTGATTGATCATCTCGACATCGAGATGTATGACTATGAAAAATAAATGGATTTTGAGTCTCAGAAATGGTGCATCTTACAACATATTATCTAGACTGTCCATTTTCAATATTGCCATATGTTTATATATCTACTTGATTTTAACTATTTTTGGAGTTTAAAATTTTATAATTAGATATAATAATAGATTTTGAGATAATCCTAAAAATATTTTACATCAAAATTGTATGTTATGATAAAATTTGAAGGTGCGCCTTAATTGGATTGTTTAAGGTTGCAACCTTATGGAAACCATACCTTTTATTTATTGCGTTTTATGTTTTCTATCTTTTTGAAACCAAGCATGCAATATCATGTCTAGAGGTTGTAGATCTGAGCCATTACTTGAAAAACATTATCATTCATAAAGCTTCAATACTACGTTATAACATTTACTTCAGGATCTAGGTTTTTTAATCACTATTCAACAGTTCTTTCTAATGCATGGGTTATCGGGCTCTTAAAAAGCACTCTCTATGAAGAGTGCTGCAATTTTTTCTTTCTTTCTTGTGACTGATTATTAGCATTGCAAGATTTCACTAATAGTGGTTTGCCTGAATAACCCGAGATACCATGTTGGCCTGGAAACACTTTTTTTTTTCATAACAGAGAGCTCGGATTTGGATTGAGAGCCCTCTTCTGCATGTTTTATTCAGTAATTTGTAGATGTTATTTATTTTTATTCAACCTTTTATTCATTTGTAAATGTAGGAAAGTCTAAGGAGGAAGCTATGGGTGATTACATAACCAAGGTGAAACAATTGCAAGAAGCTGCTGCCTAGACTGGCCCAAGGCAAGACTACCATTTCAATCATGTTTGCCATTGCTAAAGCTGGATAATCTCCTTTTATTGATAAGCAGAATATTAACTCTTTATTTATTTCTTTTTCTTTTCCCCCAAATATATTGAGAAGTACTCTTTACATATAAATTAGAATAAATGAATGGATGAAAGATTTAGATTAGAGATGTATGTGTTTGGATTTTGGATTGAGAGTTGATTAAAGAACTGGATCTGTACTGATGTCCAAATACGAGGTGCTCGAATGAGAGGGACCTTTCGCAAAACTCTAGTTATTATTTATTTTTGTAATTGTGATTGAATTGCTTAGATAGAAGATATGCGTAGATAGGGCATTTTCTACACTAATTATTTTCCAATTGCAGAGTATACCCAGTCGACGTAAATTTGAGAGAAATAGCAAAAGAAAAAAGCATTCATTTCTCATTTACCGAGAATACTCGCATTTTCTAATGTAAATGAGTCAATGTATGGAAACTTGGCCAAAGTGGGAAAGACTCGGCCAAGTTACTCGGTCTCGGGCATTGGCCAATACGAGTTCCCATGTGCCTAATCAGGTACATGGGATGCCTACAATAATGCGCATAGCCACCCAAGTACTGCAGAACTCAGGCTACCCACTCATGTATATGGGCTGCGTATGGTACTAAGCATACCCTCCTGACTGAGCATACCCTCCCGAGTACTGTAGGACTTGGCACTTGCCCTAGTTCTAGAGTGCTCGGCAAAGTATGCACAATGATCTTCCAAATAATAAGAATAGAATGAAAAAGGGGGCACCACGCCCCTTGTTTCTCTGTCTAAAATGTGGGGCAGAAATCTACTCACTTTCCATCTCTCCTTTTTTTTTTCTCTCTTGCTTCTTTGATTGGTAGAGTCTTGAGCTTATCAGCGTGAGAAGTAGAACTCAAGAACGCTTGATTTGTGCCAGGTACTCTTGCTCTCTCTCTCTCTCTCTCTCGAATCTAGGGTGCTTTTTTCATCTCATCTCACTAAAAGGTGCATAAATTTGCCCCTCTGTTTCAATCAGTAACTTTCTCCTTAAAAAAGGCGATCGTATACCATTAGATTGTTTCTCGAAGTTCAAGAAATTTTTTTGAACTTTTTGCATAGTGAATGAAACACTTACAATCACCCGATTTAAAATCTGATGGAAAAGATAGATTATGGCCTCTTTTTATTAAAAATAAATGGTCTTTTTGTATATTTTTTTTAAAAATGGGGTTAGAAATGTACCTTTTTAGTTTTATTTATTTTAATCTTCCTAAACAGGATGGACCTCCACTATGTCTTCAGTTTTATCTCACTCCCCAAACAAAAGAGAGATGCTTGAGAGAGAGAAGGGGGAGAATGAGAGATGCCCGAATATGCTTCTAAGAGAGCTATACGATGTTGCTAACATAGAACTACCTCGTATGTTAGTATTTATTTATCTTTTTCTAAATGTGGGGCAAATTGAACAAAAAAGAAATTCCAAATATCGGTTGATTCGAAGGTAACAACACCAAACTATCAAAGTGCCCAATACTTGATACTAGGGCAAATCGATGTTGCTAAAGTCAAACTACCCCAAATATGGGGCGATTCAATACCCTGGGTACCGTACGACCCTAG